TTCCCGAAAAGAAATGCTCCCATAGAGATTCTATAAAGATCGACGCCCCAACCGTCTATTAGTGAAAAAATCAACAGTTCACTATTCAGTGAGATAAACAGTGTTGCCGTCTCAACCGATTCTTTAACTTGTTTGGAAATATCAATAACCCTGTATCCTGTCTTCGAGCCCTCTTTTCTCTTATTTATTTTGGAAGAAACGACATACTCAAGAGGATTTTCCGCATGCCGATGTGAATCACTTTGTATAAACGTCACTGATTACAGCCCACGCCATCTCATCCGATGTAATTCCATTCAACTTCATCAATACCTAATAATTATCATCCGCATGTACGATGCTTGTCATCTAAATACGATACGATCGATATTTATTGTGGGATTATATACAGGGTGGGTAAATAGTGTGTCTGAGTCTGATTGCTCGGATCCTATGATAGCTAGAAAACATGGTCCAAAAACGAATTTATGAAGTAGTCCAAGGTCTATGACGAATATACAGAGTGCAGATGGAGAAATTTAGAAAGTCGAAGGCAATTTTTTTAAATTGAATGCAAAGTTTATCAGCACACTTTCATCTATCCCTCTAATATTTTTGACTATGTCTCAGTCACTTGGAAGTTATATTGACACTGAAGTACATCTACGTATCATAAAAATAGCATGAGTTTAATAATAATTGTGACTTCATCTCGTCTTCTTGATACAATTATTAAAATTCACACAAAAGGTTGGAGAGAAACAGTGGTTAATTTTTCTCAGCTGTTTTTGTTGAGGACTTTTATTTTTATTTTTAATTGGCTGTTTATATTCAGTTCATTAAATTGAATGATTTATAGTTATTCAGTAGATGTTAAGGATCCATAGAAAAATAGCGAACCACCTGATGGTTCTAGAGCTATAATCACTTTCATTTCAAATCCGGCTCATTAGTGATGGTCTGGAGCTGTGTCAATTTCACCAAGATAGAATGTGTCTTGCCACTTGCCAGATGAATTATTCTTTCAATACTTTTACACGGATGGTTATTGTTATTACATCTGAGGTTAAAAGATGGATGAAGCACTATGAAAAGTCCATACCTTGATGTTATCTCGTTTAAGTGGAAATAAAATTCTGATTCTATAACTTCAAGCCAGCAATATATGTCTCTCTCAACTCACACGAGTGGAGTTATTGTAATAATTCTACAACTCCAAGGAAGTAATTAATGAGGCTACTCCAGATGAATTGTTGTTTCTGAACTCTTTTTACACGAATATTCAGAGAGTCAGAGGTTGTTATCGCCTAAAATCTATGTTTTGTTAACTAGAATTGTAATTCAATGTCTTTATGTGAAACTCCCTAGCTTGTTTGAATTTGAGAACTCAAAGATGATCGTGCAACAGTTTTTGGTGATTGTATATTTATTTGGATGTAATTATTTATAATTGTCGTTTTCTCTTCACCAGTGTTTGTCAATAAGATACTATATCTTGTATAATAAACACATACTCTCTCTCTTTTCCTCCCAATGAACCATTTAGAGAGTCTTTTCTGGATGCAACTTCGTATATACACACTTACACGAATAGTTAGGGAATCAGAGTGGTTGTTTTTACCTAGAGAGTCCATATTTCATGGACCAAAATTGAAATGCAGTGTCTCCATTAGAGTAATAAGTCTCCCGAGATAGTTTATATGGGGACTCAAAAGCTGCTTTCTATTTGTTCCATTCTGGTGAAGGTGGTGGGAACAGAATGACGCTTACGAATAAAACGAGAAACCTCATGAAGTTGTAATCATTCCACGAGAGAAATTGACATACTATAGATAGAGTTTGAAATTATATATTTGGGGCCCAATTCTCTTTTTTGAATCCAAATACCAGAGTAAAGAGGCAAGAAAATGAATTACCGCATATTAAGAGCAGTGATTGTGGTGATTGGTGAAAGTTCTCTGAGATCGAGCGAAGATATGAAACCATATGGAACCTGTTTTACTTGAAAGAATCATAAAAACGTTTTCTAAATGTCTTCATTTTTCAAAATGTTTCGTTTTTCTTCAATCTAATTTCATTTTTTGACAACTGCCAACAGTCATTCACGTCATTCCTTGTAGTGAGACGAAATGAAAACTGGCAACCGGAATCAGGAAAGTTGCAAATAGAATGACACACTCGGGTGATTCCGGTGGCGGAATCGAATAAATAAAACGCAACTAAAAGATAAATGGAGCCCTATGAGAAGTCATGCAAAAGTCCAGATTTTGTGATCTCATGTTGGTAGAACTAGAATCGTGATTCTATAAGCCAGCAATAATATGTCTTTCCAGATGCATTGTGGTTTCAACTTACACCAGTGCTGAGAGAGTTACGATGCTTATCAAGTATCAACATAAAGAATTGACATAAAACCAATAGGAGTCCTTATTTTGAATTCTTGGTGTCAGTGTTCTGGTTGGAATTGAATGAGTCTTTTCATTATTGTTTCAATACCTTCTCACACGGTTGGTTCAAGGGTCAGTCCAGAGTCCGTATCTGGTGTACTGAGTCTTCAATTGAGCAATAGGCAAGTCTCTCTAGCTAGTTTGCAGTCGAGGACTCAAAGATGAATAGAGCACTTCGAGAGGTCAATAGTCTAGATATTGTGATCACCTATTGGTATAGGTAATATGGTGATTCTATATATTTGAAGCAATATGTTTCTCCAGATGGATTGTGATTTGTATACTCATACACGAATGGTAACCGAGAGTTAGTTCAGATGTATGGCAAATTAGAGATCTTGCTCTAGGTGTTGAGGCTCACATTTCAACAACTCCAAGAATATAATCAAAGAGTATCTTCCAGACGAAACGTTGTTTCTTCACTCTTACTTGTCTGTTCAGAAATTCAGTGCTCATTATCACCTACAGAGTCCATACTTCGTGAGCAGTAAGTCTTCCTAGCTAGTTTGTAGTTGGGGACTCAGAGATAAAAAGAGATGCAACTGCCGCTGGGCAACATCTTGAGCCTCTTTTGACTTCACCTCGCGCTTGAACCTCACCAAGAACGAGTTGCTGAAGTCGTCGACAGCCAAGGAGGAGGAAAAATATGCACCGATATCCACGATGAATAATTAGTAATTGTTCATTCATTTGGATGATAAACACATTCTCTCTCTTTTTTCCAAGTTTTCCATGGACCAAAATAAGCAATAAGTCTCCCTAGGTAGTTTGTAGTTGAGGACTCAGAGATGAATAGGGGCCAAAAGTACAGATTCTGTGATCGCATGTTGGTAGAACTTTGAGGCCAGCAATGATATGTATTTCCAAATGAATTGTGGATTCAACCTACACGAGTGGTGAGAGAGCTACGATGCTTATCAAGTCCTAGTTTTTAAGGACTCTCATAAACATAGGGACCTCCTTTAGATCCAATAGAAGTCCTGATTCTGTATTATAGTCTAAGTGTTCTGGTTCAAATTGAATGGGTATATCCATTTTTGTTTCTATAGTCTCACACGAATGGTTAAAGAGTCAGTGGTTGCCATTGCCTAGAGTCAATATTTTGTATACTGAGCCTTAATTAAGCAATAGGTGAGTATTCCTGGTTAGTAGAGAATCAGAGTGGTTGTTTTTACCTAGAGTCCATACTTTATGGACCAAAATTGAAATGCTGTCTCCATTCGAGCAATAAATATCCCTAGGTAGTTTGTAGTTGAGGACTCAGAGATGAATAGAGCCCTATGAGAGTTCATGAGTCCAGATTTCGTTATCTCATGTTGAGGTGTAAGTGGTAAGAGAGTTACCATGGTGATCGATGCTATATTGCAAGTTTGTAAGGACTCTGAGCAATTTCCAATCATCATCAACAGAGAAAGTTAATGTAGAGTGAAAGTTACGATGTTGATCAATTCTTCCTAGCTAGTTTGTAAGGACTCTGAAGAATCTATCAACATCAACATAGATAATTGATGTAGAGTCAAAGTTACGATGCTTATCAAGTCTTTCTAGCTAGTCTGTAAGGATTCTGAACAATGTCCTATCAACATATGGACTTCCTGTAGATCCAATAGGAGTCCTGATTCTGTATTCTTGATATAAGTGTTCTGGTTGGAATTGAATGGGTATTTTCATTTTTGTTTCTATACTCTCACACAAATGCTTGAAGAGTCAGTGGTTGCTATCACCAAGAGTCCATAGTACGTGAACTGAGTCTCCAATTGAGTCATACGTTAGTCTCCCTGGTTTTTTTTTAGTTGAAGACTCAAAAATATGAAATTGTCAAAAAAACAACAGCTGTTTTCCACCTACCTGTTTCATGTTAACAAACCCGTGTCTCTGGACGACATCTTGAGCCTCTCTTCCAAGGAAGCATTAAGAGTGTTTTCTTCCAGATAAAACTTTGGTTCTACACACTTACACGAATGGTTAGAAAATCAGAGTGGTTGTTTTTACCTAGAGTCTATACTTTATGGGCCAAAATTTAAATGCAACGTCTCCATTTGAGCAATAAGTTTCCCTAGCTGATTTGTAGTTGAGGACTCATAGATGAATAAAGTGCTATGAGAGTTCATGAGTTCACATTTTGTGATCTCATGTTGAAGTGTAAGTGGTGAGAGAGTAGCGGTGGTGATCAATTCTATATAGCAAGTCTGTAAGGAATCTGAGAAACTTCCAATCAACACCAACATAAATAATTGATGTAGAGTCAAAGTTACCATGCTCATCAAGTCATCCAAATGATCAATTCTTCCTAGCTAGTCTGTAAGCAATTTCCCATCAACATATGGACTTCCTGTAGATTCAACTAAAGTCCTGATTCTGTATTCTTGATATAAATGTTCTGGTTAGATATTATATTTGTTTCCACACTCTCCCACGAATGGTTAGAGAGTCAGTGGATGCTATCACCAAGAGTCCATATTTTGTGTACTGAGTCTTCAATTGAGCCGTAGGTAAGTCTTGCTGGCTAGTTTGTAGTTGAGGGCTCAGAAATTTGGAATTTCAAAAAAAAAGAAACAGCTGTTTTCCACCTACCTGTCCCATGTTAACAAACCCGTGCCGCTGGGCGATATCCTGAGCCTCTCTTGGCTCCATCTCGCGCTTGAACCTCACCAAGAACGAGTTGCTGAAGACGTCGGCAGCCAAGGAGGAGGTAGAACAAGCACCGATTGCCACGAAGAGGGCCGTGAAGACCTCGGCAGAAAGAGGCATCGTCTGTGGGCAGAGGCGCGCGACTGACTGGCGAAGAGAGGACCGGGTTGTAGGATCGGCGTCGGCGTCGTGGTGCTGACGTCATTGGCATCGATTTGGCGGACGGCGCTCGTCTGTTCAGCGGCGTACAGGAGATGGGGGCAGGGGTGACACAGGGTATAGCGGAATTTTAGGGAATGAAAGGGTGGCTCGCGAGCCGCTTGTAACTTTTCTGGTTTGAGTTCTTGAAACATTAAAAAATCCCAAAAAGATCAAAATACTGTATAAGTCTGAACTCGCACATAACAGAGTCATTATTAATATATTATGCACAAATTTCTTCAACGCAGATTCCATGAATTGAAGAATTATGAAAGAATGTTGGCTTTCATAAAAAGATCCTCCTATACAGATTCGAAAATTTTGATAATTACTCCATTTAGTATTGATAGAGGTATACGTTTGAAATGGGACTGATTGACTTACAATACAAAGATATGTGGAGCTCCGAATTCAAGATTTCTACTGAATTGGCGATCATGGTGAAAGACAAATAAAAATTTAAACAACAACACAAACACATAAGTAATCAAATTTCAAAACCCTCTAAAACCGCTGTGGAATGAGTAAAAATTGAAAAAGAAATATCATAGATTTATGTATGAGTATAGTGATTTAGAATCAGGATCAACATGTGAACTGTTGACTGCGCACTTAGTGCACCTTTCACGGTTAGGTAACGAACCTATAGTGTCTTCGACTTTAATGTCGGGATCCCGAGATTGAAGTCGGGGGTCCGACTGTATGCTTTGTATGTCAAATGCATATAGGCATCATGCCAACAAAAATTTCTTTATGACTATGAACAACTCCGATTCTCTCAATTCTTTGTATCTATTCAACAATGAGATTTTAAGCTATTGACTAGAATATAAACAATTACCCTGTACGTAAGATAATGATCGTACAGGTGTGATCCATTATTTGACATTCAGTGTACATCCAAAAAGGAGGCTTTCGATTGATCCTGTGATGATTATCCAATGGATGTAAAATTATTGTATGTACATATCATTATGTATGTATTACACACACACAAAAGTTCTGTAATAAAGGTTCCATCATACTCTTTTTTTTCATTTCGCGATTCACAATTGTTTGTTCAAAAGGTGCGGAAAGATTGTACAGATGAAACCCTACAACTCTCATACCTGAAGGTTTCTCCACTTGGTATAGTTGAAGATGTAGGTAGGGATCAGAATATAAAGAGACATCCTGTGGCAGGCAGACAGAATGGCAAAGATCGGTTCAGGACGGACCTCGGTCGGACCGGAACCAATCTTGGGAATACCAAATAGCCTGGCAATGTCCTCTATAGAGGAACAGCTGCAAAAGCAATTCCTCAAAATATGGCAGGACACACCAGGAATGAGACAATCGAAGCTCCACATAAAGGAACCTTCGAAGAGGCTCGCAAAAGAGGTTTCATTCCTAAACAGGCGAAACCTTAAAATGGTAGTGGGGCTCCTAACGGGGCACAACCACCTCAATAGGCACCTAGAGCTCATTGGGATCAAGGATGACCCCCTCTGCAGATGGTGCCTGGAAGATGACGAAACGTCATCACATGTCCTCACTGAGTGTCCAGCACTGACGCATCAGAGGAGGGCTGTCCTTGGCAACATAATTTTGAGGCCAGAGGACGTAAAAGAGATTCAGCTGAGGAAGCTGCTGAACTTCTCCAAGGCAGTCAGCATACCCAGCTGAATGTCGTAACATGTGGGCGCACAATGGGCCCGAATAAGAAGGCCCACGTGCAGGGGGTTCACCCGCCCACCAGTGCTTCGAAGAAGAAGAAGAAGAAGAAGAAGAAGAAGAAGAAGAAGAAGAAGAAGAAGAAGAAGAAGAAGAAGAAGAAGAAGAAGAAGAAGAAGAAGAAGAAGAAGAAGTTATCCAATCAATCAGATCCCGAGAATGAATGAAATGGAGCAAGTATGTGAATCTTGAAGTCTTTTCTGATCATAACAATAATACTAATATGGTGTATTTATATCTCCAGCATGGATATAGAATGCCAAATCTGCCGGAATCGGGAACAAATCATGTATGCGTTCCAACCCAAATAACAAACCATAACAAAGTTGTTCATTCTTGATGACCTAGTACATCCTTTTCAGTTCCTAGGAGCTAAAATGGACGATTTTTTTGTCTGTTGCAGAAATTTTATGTATTTTTTTTTTATTGAAAACTCCATCTTTTTGGGTTCACCCAATGTCAGAGTCGATTTTAATTACCAATTTCATTCAAATTAGCATAGCAAAACAAATTTTTTCGGCCTAGGCAGAGAAATTACACCTTTCCTGCCTGTTAGGTCTCAGAGGAAAGCTACTTTCTATGCAGCTTGGAGAAACAGTATTTTTTGCGATCATATAACTAGAGATTATAATATTGATAATAATAATGTAATATTATAATAATGAATAAGTGTTATATGGACACAGAATAGCAATGAATTTCTTAGAACCTCAGTGTTGCCAGATCCTCTAACCTCATTCTGTGCTGACGTCCAGCCGCATTTCGTCATATATAAAATTTGTGTATTTGATATAGCCTTTTTTCTATATAAATTCAGTAAAAATTTTATATATTACAAATAATAATTATGAACCAAACGGCGCGAGGCATACTAATATATATTGAAATTTCGTCGCACTTAAATATATAGAACATTTTCCACACGATATAAGAAATGTTTCATATAATATTGATAATTGCGTATATTATATAGGATTTTTTCTATATTTTGAGTTAAAATGTCTATATATCGAAAAAAATAATTATGAACCAAACGGCGCCTCATACTTTCAAGTTAATCCGGTACACCGAATTTTAATGTAGATATTGTGCCTACCATTACATAGATGTGCCTATTTTCCGAACCTCTTCACATCAGGTTGGGAAAGTAGGATATATAGAAGTTAGGCAAGCCAAGGTGAGTTGAGTTTATTGTACCAGTATTTCACCTGATGAAGATACTGTGTTAGCGAAACATGTCGTGTGATTGAGAATTTTGTGAAAATCTTATCGTTTGTGAAGTTTTTACATTTGCCATGGATTTCCATCAAGTAACGACCGAGTCAATTAAAAAAAACATCTCAAGTTTGACAACGAAAGGATGTGCTGACTGTACTTGTCGAGTTCGTCTGACTGGTATTGCTGGTGATGCTATCAGAGAGTTCTGAGAAACATTTCCCGTGGAAGTACCTGGAGAAAAGTGAAAGGTCGACGACTTTTCTACGGTAGTCTGATGAAGTCAAAGTATTAGTGAGTGTGGCAGCACCCATCAGGTGAATGGCTGTTCTCTGGATGGAATCTGAGACCATCAGCGTATGTTTGGGTGGCGTTATGTGAAAACAGTATTCTAAAACTGAAAAGCTCTTGTGATGTAAAGTAGGTTTTCGCACGGATCAAAAATCCGAGTTTTTGTAAAGCAGCTTTCAAGTTGTACCGGACATGATTTTCTTATGAAAGAGTATTGCTGAAGGGAATACCGAGCATATACATAGTGGACTTTGTGGGAATGGTTGTACCAGACATTTGTTATATCAGACATATACTGTGTTCTGCCTTTCTAGAGATTTTTAGCAAGATCTTCAATGCATACAAACATAATCATGATTTATGGATTTATTATTGTCATATTATATTCAAAATATATTCAAATAATCTCCAGATTGTTATTATAATTTGGGTTTTTCTAAAAGATTCAAGCGATGAAATGACGACTCTCAGTTCAATCGCTTCACTTGAGAAAACCCATGAAAAAATTGAGAGATATGACTAATGTGGAAAAAAAATATTGATTTTCTTCGTAAGATATCAATGACATAAAAACAATCTAGTTCACATTTACATTATCTATCATATCAATAATCGAGATAATCTGTGATATAAATATACTTATCAAACCTGGAAATTTAAGTATTGCTCGCGAATCGTCAATCATGAAAAACCAAGTGTTCATCAGTTTTTGTGTGTTAACACTAATATTTTCGTCGATCTCAATAGGTAAATATTTTTTTTTCAAATTGTCAATGATTCATCAAAATACAGGGTGTCCGTTTTTCGATTTCCACCATGGGGATCTCAGTTATTATAAGAGATACGAGGTCGCTTAAATTAGGAAGAAGTTGCGCATTTCCATGTGTTGAACATCCATCTGCAAGAATAGTATATTGTGCATCAAGTGGGGAAAGTTCAAACACATGAGTGAGAAAAGTACTTTCCCCCATATGTTGCACACTATACTTTTTCTACAACTGCACTTATCCAAAGAATCCAAGTAATGTAACGTATTGGTAATAATTTTATAATGTGGCACTATGCCATATTGAATATTGTGACCAAAGAGTAGACGCCTTTCCTAGTTCCTCAAAGTATTTCAAAAAAGTATACTTTCCGAAAAAGATTCTATTTCTGTAATTTTTTCAGATTCTATAAATTCTTCGTATATTTTTTTCTATTTTTTTTATCGCTTGGAGCGCACGAAAGGGAATCCCTATAATGTATAGCTTTTTCCATTATCTCTGTCTCTGGCGGTGTATTTATCAAAATCGTCACATCTCGGTATATACATCATATTATTAATTATGAATTGTTGGAATAATATTTGATGGAAACTGCGATTTTTATCAAAAGCACTCATGAGAACTACCCTGTAGAATTTAAAAAACTTCTTCTGACAGTTGTGACAAGTATTCGAAGCTGAACACCAGCCAATCAAGTTTTGGTCGATTTTTGTAGATTCTCCATGGAAATGTATGTGGTGATGGCAACGTGCCGTGAGAAAAAATATTTCTCACAGTATGAGCAATACATGGTTTTGAAACTAAGTAAGCTATGAGAAATGCGCTACTTTTCATAGCAGTAGTAGAAAAAATTCAATGTGTCATTTTCAGGTTTTGAATCATCTGAAAAGAAGAAATTTGTAATCTTTCATTTTTTCAAGCGAGTCCCAAAAGACCTAGACGTTTCTGACTAGGACATTCTTGAGGCACTTTTTCATAAGAAATCTGAATCTGTCATCGTTTTTTCCATGAAGTTCTTGATGTTAAAATTACAACACTCAACTTTTTGTGGGATAAGCAAATGTCACCTACAGGGAGAACTCAGGAAATGGGAAGAAATTGAAAAGTCCTCCTACTGGAGAGCAACTCCAGGTCAACGACAAGCGAAAAGGTTCATAAACCATTCGCAGAACCGAGCCAAAGAGCTACTCAGCCTCAGCAAACCAGAGCTAAAGCTTATCACAGGCCTTCTCATAGGACACGGCCCTCTGAGGTACCACCTCAAAAAGATATGGGCCTGGCGGAAACTGACACTTGCCGCTTTTGTAACAATGCGACCGAAACCGCGGAACACATACTTTGCTCATGTGAAGTATTAGTCCGCCAGAGGCTGAACCACCTAGAACAGGTCTATCTCACCCCTGCTGAAGTGAAAAAGTCAACCGTCAGGATAATCGTAGGCTTCATCAGAAGTCTAGGGTTAGAGGAGCAAAACTAGATAGAAGTAATCACCATAGATCTTCTAGGTCGCAGTGATCGAGAGGTCTCCCAGCCTATACGTCCCATCTACAATCTACAATCTACAATCTAGAACACTCAACTTTGTTTTTTCTCATGGGCGCCATACTGGATTTTTGCATTTTTGAAACGTTTTTTTTTTCTGATTACAATGATGTATCATGCGATATGATCGCATCTTTCCTGTTGATAAAAATTGGGAAAAAAACATTTTTGCGAAGAGTGATTCGGAAGGAACGCCAACAGTTTTTTTTAACAAACAGAATTTTGACAGTTCAATTGAATATTCGAACAGAACTGTTGAATTCTTGAGCTTATACACATATCGCGAGAAGGGTTGCCAAGTGACTGTCAGATATGTTCCTTAACAAGGTAATTTCCAACAACGGTGACATACGTTGGTCAGCGCGGTCACCTGATCTCTCTCTGCTGGATTATTATTTATTGGGAACTATGGAAGATTTGATTTTCAAAACTGAACCGATCGATGTCGATGAGCTGGGAAGAACCATAATCAGGACTTTCAGGACTAAGATGAGAAGACGGGACATCTCGCGAGTAATTCAGAATCTGATGGAACGCGTATAATTGTGGTTAGAAGTGGAAGGTGGAGTATTCGAGCATATTTTATAACTTTGTTTCGTTTTGTCATGCTGAAAGACAGCTAGAGTCCAACCAATCCCCAAGAAGTGAACAAGATCCTACCCAACAACTACAGGCCCATTGCCCTGTTATCAGTAATCTCCAAAGTGATGGAGAAATCCATCAATATTGAGCTTATCAAATATCTGGAGACCTCAGGAATCATCAATGATAGACAATACGGCTTTCGCCACCGAAGATCAACTGGAGATCTACTTGCCTATGTCACCCATTTATGGCAAGCTTCATTAGAAAAACACGGAGAATCTCTAGCTGTCGCGTTGGACATATCGAAAGCATTCGACCGTGTTTGGCACGAAGGACTCCTCCACAAACTACCATCATACGGCTTACTACCTCAGCTATGCCATCTCTTATCGAGTTTTCTTTCAGGCAGATCGCTTCACGTGGTGGTCGACGGTGTATCGTCTGATACCATTGGCAGCAATTCCGGCGTTCCACAAGGATCAATTTTGGCACCAACATTATTCCTTCTTCATATCAATGATCTGTTGGGAGTAACAACTTGCCCCATCCACAGCTCTGCAGATGATAGTATTCTCCATACTGCGTTCTCTTCCAGAATTCCTATTTATTCCCAGGAAACTAAGAACTCACGGCGCAGTCAGGTCAATGCTGTCGATGAAGACCTAGCTGAAATCACAGCCTGGGCAACCAACAACCTGGTTGAATTCAACGCCACCAAAACTCAAGCCTGTATTTTCTCTAGAAAGGCGGAACTCAGTATGCCCGATATTGTAATGTCTGGCACCACCATCCCCACCAAGCCCACCATATCTATGCTCGGTATTTCCATCAGCAACACTCTTTCATGGGATAATCATGTCACGTCCATCGCAAAAGCTGCTTCACAAAAACACGGATTGTTGTTCCGTGCGAAAAGCTACTTTACACCTCAACAGCTTCTCATGATCTACAAAGCGCAGATACGGCCTGTTCTAGAATACTGTTCCCACATATGGGGTTCAGCACCAAAACATACGCTGATGCTCTTAGATTCCATTCAGAGAAGAGCCATTCGCCTGGTGGGTGACGCCACACACACTCACTTTTTGATATCATTGGAACACCGTAGAAAGGTCGGCGACCTTTCACTTTTCTATCGATACTTCCACGGGAAATTTTCTTCGGAAATCTCTGCTATCATCCCTTCACTAGCAATACCAGTCAGACGAACTAGACAAGCCCAGTCAGCACATCCTTTCGTTGTCAACCTCGAAAGATGTCGAACAGCACTTCATCAAACCTCCTTCATCTATAGAACGGCTAGGCTCTGGAATTCATTGCCTGAGGAAGTATTCCCAACAACATACAATCTCCAGAAGTTCAAAAAAATTATAATACCTACCTCCTGTCCCTATCCTCCCTAGGAACGCACGATGTTCTTTGAACATTATAGGGATTTCCTTTAGTGCGCTCCAAGCGATAAAAAAAATGAAAAATAAAAAAGCGGCATTTTTTGAAAACTGTTCATCAAAAACTGAAAAACTAGGGTATAGTAGAAAAGAGACTTGAACACTCTTCAAAATGATCTACCCCTCCTATAGGGGGTTGAACTAAGAGAGTTAAAACTAATAATTTCAAGTTTTCTCCTTGAATGTAAAATCGACCTGTTTCTTCAATTTCTCATATTATTCACTGCAAGAAAGATATTGAGGGTAAAAAGTTTTCAAAATTTCACCCTGTATGCAGAAATTGATTACAAAATGTAGTATTTACCTATAACTCATACCTCATTCATTCCTACATCGCGGGTGGTGAATACCCAATCATCGATCAGATTGACTATTTATTTGATGGTCTCATTTTCTTATAAGAGAGGTAGATAATAACACACTGAGTTATCGTCTGATGTTTGATTTCACTAATTGTCGCCTCTCTGTTATCGATCAATCAAAAATCATCTTCAACATTGAGAAACCAAATCAAACATTGTCATTGAGATAGTTATTATAGATTAAAGATATGTTATCAGGTGCACCTAACTGCTCATCAATAGAATTATCTCAGAATCATGGATTTTTTCCATTGCCTCAAGTGAAATTTAATTTTATCTATGCGAGGTTATTCCTCAATATCAAGAAACTTTTCTCTACAAACTTCAAAAAATGACAACGTTGGCCCATTGATAACAAAATGCGAATTACACGTTTTTTTATTTTTTCACGTTTTCACGAGGCCGTGCGCAAAATACTTATTTGGCGCACTGCATGTGAACTATATGAGAATTTTGTATTTCAACCAAATATAGTCCTCAATCAAGAAAAAATCCAAGAAATCACTGTTTTTTTAATGTTCGACAATAATTAAGGCTCCAAGGGAGAAATGTTGACAACATAAAAAATATGGACTTGGCAACAATTCTCGAATGGGGATCCAATAACTTGGTAGATTTCAATGCAAACAAAACACAAGCATGCCTCTTCTCTAGAAAAGCCGATTTCACTGTGCCCAACATAAGCTTGTCCTGAGTAACTATACCTTTGAAGACATCCATTTCGATGCTTGGGTTTACTATCAGCAATAACCTTTCTTTGGTAAATCACGTGAGATCAATTGCTAAAAGTGCATCCCAAAAACTTGGTTTTCTGTTTCGGGCTAGGAGCTATTTCACTTTCAGTCAGCTGCTTATGATCTATAAGGGACAGATCCGACCTGTCCCGGAATACTGTTCCCATATTTGGAGTGCAGCACCCAAACATACCCTGAAACTGTTGAATTCTGTCCAAAAAAAGGGCGATTCGTCTCGTGGGTGATGCCTCGCTCAGAAACTCACTCACTTCTCTAGAACACCGTAGAAAAGTTGGCGATCCAGCTCTATTTTATAGATATTTTCATGGACTATGCTCATCTGAAACATCAACAATTGTTCCTCCCTTGGCAGTCCCCGCGAGATTAACCCGTCGAGTTGAGGCTTCGCACCCCTTCGTGGTCACTTTGGAGACTTGCAGAACAGCTCTTTCCAAAGACTCGTTCATCCAACGAACAGCGATGCTCTGGAACACATTGCCAAAGGAGGTGCTCCCCGAGGCATATAACCTCCATAATTTTAAGAACACCAGTTCCTACCTCATTTCCCTTGGTTCTCACGATGTTCTCTGAACATTACAGGATATCCCTTTTCGTGGGAACCAGAACATGAAAAAAAAGTTTTATGCTATTCTTCATATTAAACTGAGCATATTAGAAAAAAAATTGTTTGCTACTGGTGCACAAAATACTTTGCCGAGGTAAAAAATAAATAAAGTAGAATTGAATTGGTCTCCGAATTTAGCGTCAAACTTATTATTGTTGGTATATCTAAGATGCTCATTTTCTGAACCAGTGAATCGTTTTCCAAAAAATTAGCAGGAATGTATAGGGATTGAAAGCCCTTTTTTAAGAGGTATCACTTGACCCCCATTCCCTCAGGGGGACTAAGCAAGTTAGGACACATGTTGATGTTAACTTTATTTCCTAAAATATCATACATACACTCTGTATAAAAAAGGTGCTAATGACAGTGTTATTGTAGTTTCAGGTAGAAATATAGTCTGCTATTTTGCTAGCTGGACAGTATATAGACCGGGAAATGGGCTATTCGACGTGTCGAACATCGAACCTGATCTTTGCACTCACATCAATTTCGCCTTCATAGGACTCCACGAAGATGGCACCATCAATATAATCGACAAGTGGGAATCCGACGACGACGGAAAATACCGTGAGTACATTAATGATTTTTCGCGTTTCATAGTGCATCAGTTATCAATGATTGTCATATTTTTGGCATTTATCAGCGTATTTAGTATAATAGTTATTTATGTATCAAGGGCGTAAAGTAGGCGTTTATGGCCTGTGGCGTGAATAATGGCCCGATGGCGCCAGCCGAGGGCCATTACACGCTGAAGGCCATAAACACATTTCACGCACGTGATACATACAAAATTTTATGCACTAGTGGTTTATTTTCTTACTCAAAAGTAATGACTATAGATTTCGATAAACTAATATTCCCCCGAATTTGATTTGTTGCGTATAAATTCAGTAATCAAGAGAAGCGTGATGTTCATGGATGATTTACATATGAGAATTATCGTACGAATATTGCAATTGTCGTAATAGTAAAACTCTTTGATCTCTAGAAAAGATTCATTCTTCAGAATTTTACAATATGCATACCCAGTATATATACCTAACTAATTTTGACGTTGTCAATCAAGCTGATGGTTGTTGTCTATATCAATACATCCAATAAACGAGCTGAATTGTCATTCTTTGACTGGAAAGTAAAAATTAGTGATAATAATAGCGATAGATATGGAATCGGATAAAGAAGAAGTTTATGATATACCGCTGGATATATCAGAATCTAGGAAAATGATCATAGGTTTTTCATGAATTGATATGTGGATATAAGGTAACTGAGAACAGCGGGCGGTAAAGTGCACTTTACGGCCCGTGGGCCATAATGAGCCCGCGGGCGGTATAGTGCGACTTAACGCCCGCAAAACCGGGCGGTAAAGTGCACTTTACGGCCCGCTAGTGCATAAAGTAATTTTTCAACTCAATAATCATCAAAAACACAGTCGCATATCGTAGGATATTCTATTCTTTCGAACAGTAACCGGCTTCAATAGGTCGCGTGCACGATGACCGACCCTGGAGGCAAAATATTGAAACACAACCTCACTCTTCTGTGGATAATTGAAACACAACCTCACTTTTTTTATTTGTCTACAGAGGAATCAAAAGATTGAAATAGTTTTTCACGATATTTTGGAATACGAATCGTGGTTTTTTGCGCTATTCATTGATTCAAGCATGCCTTCGCATTGTGCTGTTGTACAATGCAGCGAGAGACAAAGGAATATGATTTTTCAGGTAATTAGTAATCTCACATAGTTATCATTATGAAATGTTGTCATTGCTCATTAAAATTCCTTCTGCCTTCTGCCACTTGTGCAATACAAGCTAATACTGCTAATAGATTGAAAATTTCTACAACAGACACGATCATATTTCGTCAGTATGTCAGACCAGTCCTCCCGAGTGATTGTATGAATCCAATCTTCTTGCATTATTTTAGAAATTTCACGTGTCGTATTCCTATTGCAGAAGGAATTCCGATGAGAAATCAGAGAAATTACCAAATTTCAAAAATGAAAACTATATGTGAGTGACTATAGTAGGTACTTACTTTTAAATCATAATGCACCAACCGGATTCCTTCGTCTTCCGCTGCAGTTTGTGTGCATTGTACAACAGCACAATGTGATGACATGGGCGAATTGATAGATAGTCAAAAAATACGATTCGTATGCCAAAATAATTGTGAAAAACTATTTCAATCACTTGTAAACAGATAAGAAAAGTGAGGTTGTGTTTCAATGTTGTGCCTCCAGGGTCGATCATCTGACAGTTCTTGCACGCAACCCATGATGTTCCTAAATGAGATCACCAACATATTGTTTGGTTATACCACTATAATGAGCTTTAACAGTTTCATTCGATCAATACTGTATCTATCACTATTTTGAAGATCTCTGCTCGGGGCCTCATGTAATAAATAGGCCTCCGATTTCCCTGCTGAAGTATGTCAAGAAGTATTCGATGCTATTCGTGGAATCAGCATTGTACAAGAACCTGGCTCATTTATTCGAAGTTTTTTGTGTCATATGTGATTATGAGTGTAGATTGGTGCTGTACTGCACCCTTTGTCATAGTAGTGAAGTGTGAAGTGATTGGGAAATTTTGAATTCCAAGTTTCTCAGCGTCTCACTTCAATATTTCACAAGTGGTTAGATACATCCTGGTGTTCTTTGCATATTCGAACTATTCATGGGATAGCGCAACATTTCTATGATACCAACAATTCTGTATCTCTGCTCGTTACTGAGATCCCTGCTCGGGGCGCCATAGAACGTCGTTTTTCGATTCCAGACAGGTCCGGCCTTGTGCAAGAAGGTGGTCAACTTAGTCGAAAACTCTTCAACTTATTTATCCCATGTTATTTATTCCAGTTTAGAAAATGGCCCAAGTCATAGAAGTATAGAGTCATTGAGAAAGTTTTTTATTCAAGTTTCTCAGGTCCTCACCATTTTTTTTAGAAATGGTTAGAGAAATCTTGGGAATCTCCGCATATTCGAGTTATCCATAGAAAAGCGCATTTTGTTTGTAATTTCGTCGATTCTGTAGCTCTGCCCGTTACCGAGATCCCTGCTCCGGGCGCCATCTAAACGTCGTTCTTCGTTTTCAGACGTATACCGTAACTGCGGCGGCGGATTCGGATTTGTGCAAGAAGCTGGTCAAGTTGACAGACCGGAGTTTTTTGTGGCTGTTTCGATAATGGCTCTTATCATAGATGTGAAGTCATTAAGGAATTTTAAAATTCAAGTTTTTCAGGTCTTCACCATTACATTCCAGAAATGGTTGACGATTGCTCGGGATTCTCTGCATATTCGAGCTATCCATGTGATAGCGCAACTCTATCGTCATTCTGTCAATTCTGTATATATCTGCATGTTAGCGAGATCCCTGCTCAGAGCGCCATAATTTCGTCACTGTGACGGCGGATCTGGCCTTGTGCAAGAAGATAGTCAAGTTAGTCGAGAATTCTTCAACTCATTTATTCGAAATTTTCTGTGCCAGTTTTGATGATTGCTCCTATCATAGAAGTCTCACTCAGGTCTTCAATATTATATTTCAGAGAAGGTTCGGGGAAGCTCGGGATTCCCCGCATATTCGAGCTGTCCATGGAATACAACGACTTTTTTGTTATTCTGTCAATTCTGTTTCTCTGCCTTTTACCGAGATCCCTGTTCGGGGTGCCATAATACGTCGTTTTTCGTTTCCAGACAGATTCCGTAACTGTGACGGACGATTCCGTAACAGTGGCGACGGATTCGGCCTTGTGCAAGAAGGTGGTCAAGTTAATCGAGAACTCTTCAACTTATTCATTCAACGTTTTTTGTGCCAGTTCTCATAATGGCTTCAACCATAAAAGGTCATCAATATTATATTTCAGAGAAGATGACAGACAGCTTGGGATTCTCAGCACACGGCTTTCGCCACCGAAGATCTACTGAAGATCTACTTGCCTACGTCACCCATTTATGGTAATCTTCAATAGAAAAACACAGGGAATCTCTAGCTGTCGCGTTGGACATATCGAAAGCATTCGACCGTGTTTGGCACGAAGGACTCCTCCACAAACTACCATCATACGGCTTACCACCTCAGCTATGCCATCTCTTATCGAGTTTTCTTTCAGGCAGATCGCTTCACGTGGTGGTGGACGGTGTATCGTCTGATACCTTTGGCATCAATTCCGGCGTTCCACAAGGATCAATTTTGACACCAACATTATTCCTGCTTTATATCAATGATCTGTTGGGAGTAACAACTTGCCCCATCCACAGCTTTGCAGATGATAGTACCCTCCATACTGCGTTCTCTTCCAGAATTCCCATTTCTTCCCAGGAAACTAAGAACTCACGGCGCAGGTCAATGCTGTCAATGAAGATCTTGCGGAAATCACAGCCTGGGGAACAAACAACCTATGAATTCAACGCCACCAAAACTCAAGCCTGCATTTTCTCTAGAAAGGCGGAACTCAGTATGCCCGATATTGTAATGTCTGGCTCCACCATCCCCACCAAGCCCACCATATCTATGCTCGGTATTTCCATCAGCAACACTCTTTCATGGGATAATCATGTCAGATCCATCGCAAAAGCTGCTTCACAAAAACTCGGATTCTTGTTCCGTGCGAAAAGCTACTTTACACCTCAACAGCTTCTCATGATCTACAAAGCGCAGATACGGCCTGTCCTAGAATACTGTTCCCACATATGGGGTTCAGCACCCAAACATACGCTGATGCTCTTAGATTCCATCCAGAAAAGAGCCATTCGCCTGGTGGGTGACGCCACACTCACTCACTTTTTGACATCATTGGAACACCGTAGAAAGGTCGGCGACCTTTCACTTTTCTATCGATACTTCCACGGGAAATGTTCTTCGGAAATCTCTGCTATCATCCCTTCACTAGCAATACTAATCAGACGAACTAGACAAGCCCAGTCAGCACATCCTTTCGTTGTCAACCTCGAAAGATGTCGAACAGCACTTTATCAAGATTCCTTCATCCATAGAACGGCTAGGCTCTGGAATTCATTGCCTGTGGAAGTATTCCCAACAACATATCTCCAAAAGTTCGAAAAAAATTTCAATACCTACCTCCTGTCCCTATCCTCCCTAGGAACGCACGATGTTCTCTGAACATTATAGGGATTCCCTTTCGTGCGCTCCAAGCGATAAAAAAAAAATATGCGAGCTATCCATGGAATAGCGCGACTTTTCCGTCATTCTGTCAATTCTGTATCTCTACCTGTTACCGATATCCCTGCTCAGGGCGCCATAAAGTGTAATTTTCCATTTCTAGATGAATTTCGTCACTGTGGCGGCGGATCTGGCCTTGTGGAAGAGTGCCAATTTTGATAATTGCTCCTTCAATATCATATTTCAGAAAAGGAAGCTTGGGAATCTTGGCATATTCGAGCTATCCGTGGAATAGCACGAGTTTTTCGTAATTCCGTCAATTCAGTTGTCCGTTGCCATAAAACGCCGTTTTCGGTTTCTAGACGGACTCCTCAACTGTGGCGGTCGATCGGGCCTTGTGCAAGAAGGTGGTCAAGTTGGTCGTGCGCTCTTCAACGTATT